TATTTATTTATTTACAATATTTTTTAGCCGCACCATTGCCAGTGGCTTTTCATGAGCTAAGCAAGATGCAGCCAAGATGCAGATGGTTTAATCCTTTGAATTTCTTTCCAATGCATCATTAAGGCCGTACCATACATAATATAGTAAAATTTGGAGGAGCACTTCTATCATAGCTATTTTGAGCAGAACACAAAGGATGTTTGTGTGGATATTTTGGGTGTAGGTTTCTGATTTTTCTGCATGCAAATGTGTTCAGCTCTGTTTGACAGCACTTTAGGCGTAGACGTTTCACCATCAGGCCTCTAGAGCAGCTCAATAAAGAGTGCATCTGGATGACCTGGTTGCATTAATAACAGAATGACAGGAAGTATGTTCTGCGGGTCTTGTGCCCTTTCTGTAACAAGCGCCAATCTCTTTGGCCACACAGGCTGAAGAAAAAAACTGCAGCCCACTGTCCTGTATGTTCTAAGTGTCTACTACCTTCCAGGTAAAAGACTTTTAGAAACAAGACTTGAAATTCCTACTTAAACCACCACCAAGATTAAGCTTTTCAGTACAGTAATACTAAGCTGGAGTTCAAGAGGTAAAGAATCAAAACTCTTGGCTCGAACCAAATGTAATTCAGAGGCTTTTAGAAAAACAGTGAAAGGAGTGGTTCTGGTCTGTATTATATAGATGGATCTTGTTTTCATGTAGTTAGAGCATGTTGAGTTAAACTTAAAGGCTGTAATATTTCTGTTAGCAATGAGCAAAGGTGAAACTGTCACTTTTCAAACTGAAAACTTTATAAAACAAAAAAATTGTATCAGTGTTTGGCAGTGTACAGTCACGTAGAGCCCTTTCCCCCAGCCTGGTGTTTTCCAGGTGTTTCAGACTTTAATTCCCATAAAGCTGTAGCTGCCATGGCCAATAATAAGACATGTTAGACATTTTAGTCAAAAACATCTGGAAAGCAGCAATTTGGGGAGTAATGATAAGAGAATTATAAAATAAGCAATATTGGATGTTTTTGTTTTTGTAGGCAAAGAACAGAGAGCTACTCAAACAGGTTGCAGCCTTATCGAAAGGCAAGAAGTTTGACAAGAGTGGGAGTATGCTGACATCTCCATGACAATCTAGTGGTTTGCATGGGTGTTAAATATTCAAAAGGTAAACAACTCCGTGGCAACTCTGTAGAAGCCTGTGTGATAAGATGAAATATTTTTGAACACATGTTTCTTGGCATGTTTCTTACACCATTTTGTAACTGGTAATTTAGTTACTTTTTAAAGTTTAAACCAGTTGGATTCATGTACTTCAGCCGGGTTGAAGAAATCTTTTTTAAAAAAGAGATTTATACCAGAGAGAGAGATTTCTTGCTGGTGATCGGTAAGAGTGCTCTTATTTTTAATCGCATCATGCAATAACAGATACATGAATGACAGCCACTTGAGGGAGATGTCCACCAAGCACTGCCATTGTGAAGACTTACTAATGTAAATTGGATTTTATTCAGGGCACCTGGGCAGGAACAGACCTTGTTTGGGAGCTGAGCAGACCTACATCAAGGGAAAAAACCTGTCAACTATATCACTTCTCCAGCTGCAGCTAGTTCAGAAACAAAAGGAAGCACTAGATACACGGGCACTGTACTTTACCTTTTCAGTCAAAATAAGAGTACATTGAAGAATAAAATCATGGTGCTTTTATTATAGAAACTTATAAATACATGTAAAAGAATTTAAACAATTTTATTCTTAGTGATAACTGTGTTTTGCATTTCTTGTGATAGAAACTTAAAGAGATCTTCTATTGTAAGTACCAGAACAAAATGTGGTTTTCAAAAATATACTGTAGACTTTTCTCTTGCAAGTGCCTTTTCTCCCAACTGTTTATTTATAGGAACGTGGGTATTTTGTATATAAGGGTTTTCTTTTTTTTAAAAAAAAATCATTTTTAAATGTTCCCTCACGTGTGTATGTGTGTGTATATACATATGTATATATATGTACAGAAGAATCACATGCTAAGAACAACGTTTGGATAGAAAAGGTGCTAAGAACTAGCAGACAGTGAATTTTGGCTATAGATAACTAACAGATGTTTCTGTATAAAGAGTATTTGTCTTAACTCTTGTTACACCTAACTTAATTTTTATTTTGCCACACTAAACTGTAGGGCTTTTAAAATATTTTCTATTTCATTTCTGATTCACATTGTGGTGTATTCTAAACTGAATGATGCAGGAACAGTGTTTGAGCTGATGTAACTCTTCAGATATTTCTTTTCATAACATAATGCCTTTTTAAAATTGCTAGGTTAATGTGTATGTGTGCGTGTTCTTAATTTCTGTACAATAAGGAAACAGCAGCCCTGCACCAAAAGCTCTACCAAAAGCTGAGGGCACAGTACCACAGTAATTCTGTTCAGTGGTGAATATCCTGGGAGCCAGAGGAGATGCCCAGGAGCACCTCACATTAGGAACAGAAGCACCAGCCATGTGGGCCACCTAACCCTTGGCTATGTATTCAGGTGGGATCAGAGCAGGTGGAAGCCCCACATGCTCTGTGGGAGTTGGAAGAGCCTGACCAGAGCATCCCCTTTCCCAATAAGAAGCCATGAAGACACGCCCCAACTCAGTGGCTTTCAATGTCTGGGAAGCCCTGGGATTGCATAGGAATTTATTGATGGTGTTTGTGGTTGGCTAAAAGACTGACAGCTCGTTCACTACGGCTGATCTCCCACACCATTGATTTGCACTCATGCAGCTGCAGGAGTGTGCTGTGGTTGCCACCTCAGATTAAGTTGTGGCAGTGGTGAGGCCCAAAAGGTCTGGAACATGTCCCAGAACCTTGTGTAGTACACAAAAGTTCTACATCTGATAGTCGAAAGTTGCTCAGCAGACAAAATTAGTGTGGAAATTATTCTCTGAAGGTGGAAAGTGGGAGCTGTTGTCTAGAAAGGATGATAAAATCTTCAAATGTTTTTAATGTTCTCTTTGGAATAATGTTACAAACGGTTAGCAAATCCAAAGCTCATTCCAGAAGCATGGTTTTCTTCAGCTTTAAAAATAAGCTGTTTTTCCATTAAATGGAAATCCTGTTAATAAAAGGGTGCTCAAGTTACTCTCAAAAGAATTGCACTTCAGCTAGCATTTATGTGTTTTTGGACCTCCAGCTGCGTGAAAATGGGGAGTGTTTTTCCCAAGAGACTACTGAAGAATTGTAATTTGAAAAAAGGGTGGTAGCTTTCTACTATACTGAGGGCGTTGTTGTTTTTTTAATTTTTTGTATACTAAGATGAACTTTGTGAATTTATAAATAACGTTTGCTGATCTTAATGATACAGCTCGGATGGAATACCCAGCTGCTATCTTATCAGACTATTTAGTCATTGCAAACTTTTTTTTAAAATTATCCATGTCAAAGTATTTTGATACTTTTTTCCCACTTGAAAGGCTACCGTTAACTGATGGATTTTTTTGTTTTGTTTTAAAGAACAAACTTCACAGGAAACTAATCCACTTTCTGATCAAGGAGTTTTCATTAAAACCTTTGTATGCTGCAACAGGGTCATTTTAGAGAAGGATCCAGTATTTTGATTTTTAAATACTGGAGATATACAAAGCCCATTAGAAAAGTATTTAGAGACTTCACAGTATGTAGAGAAATTAATTTGGGTTTTAAATTATATAACCTGTCTTTAACTGGGGAGTTCTGGAGGCAAAAAAAAGAATAGCACGTGGAATCCTGGAGTTGTAGGTTATTTTCAGAATTAACTTGTTTTTATGTAGACTTTCAAGATTATTCATCGTACTATAATGTGGATTTAAGTCAGTTCTTCAACTGTTAGCATTGAACAATAAAAGATTCACTTGGGCTTGAGTTATTTATGTATTTTAAGCCTGTGAATATTGCAATTCCTTTTTAGTTAGAATGTCTGTCCATTCTGAGGTGAAGCCTTTCTGCTTGCTACATGTGTATATACTATTGAAGTTGTGTACTGGCACACTTGTTGACAGTTGAAATTTTTGTACTCTTTTCTAAATCCAGTATTTCACAATAAAAGCTCAGTAAAACATCAGTATGGTCCTTGTATGTTATTCAGAAAACTTTGAACTCCAGGTTCATCCTGCCAAGACTGAGAAAAGGGGGGATGAGCTGAGGTAATCTTTCCTCACACCTTTGATTTGGCTTCATCAGCTAGGCCAGGGGTAGAAATCATCTACAGTTGTATTACTGAAAAGAACCCAAAAATCGTCAAATCCAGCCCCTTCCAACGCAGAAAATGCACAACCAAGCAGGGGTTTGATGACAGGTACAACCTCTGCTTAAAAATCTCCAGTGAAGAAGAGTTGATTCCATTGTCGAACGGCTCTCACTGTTAGGAGGTTCTCCCTAATGTCTAGCTGAAATATCTTTGCTTGTGGCTTGAATCCACAAGTTCTGGTCCTATCCTTTTGAGCTTCAAAAAGCAAGACTCTTCCATCTTCCACGTGACAGCCTTTCACATACCTCAAGACAGCTTTCATATTGCCTCTCAACCTTCACCAGCCGTTTTTATCCATTCTGAGCCCCTCTCATCTATAGTTCATCCAAAACTGTTTGCTTCTTTGCTAAGAAATGAACGCTGGTGTTCCTGTAAGACCAAGAGCAATGTTTTTATTGCAAAGCAGGGTGTATCCCCCACACATATTCTGGTTGAAAATATGACTTCTGATTTTTTAAATATTTTGTTTGAAAACCAGAAATATTATTTTCAAACTCAGAAGATTACTTCCAGGTGCTGGTCAATATTCTGAGGGGCAGAAATATGGCTACAAGACCCCCCAAGTGGAGCATATGGCATGCAGAAGATCCAAAGCACTATCGGTTAACATCGCTTAGCAGAAACCTGCCTGAAAGCATGGAAAGTCACCTCCAGTCAACACAGGCTGTACTAGACTATATGGAACAATATTGACTCCCGTGTAAGGTCACTTCTACCATATATTACTGTATTCTTTAACAGAAACCATTGTTTAGAATTTTTAAAAATGTGTTTCATATATACTTAAGGATTTGGGAAGCCTAGTAGATTTTTGTCCCCACACTTGAAGATGCAGATTTCACTAACATTTTGCACTCTTACCTTTGAAATAGTCCTTGGTTTGGGGTGTGGGGGGAGTTGCTTTGAGGTGTGAAAGGTTACACCCAAAGTGTTTTAAGGCTCTGGAAGCCACATTTTGTGATAAAGGTTGTCTCCTGTTAACATGTAATATCTTATTTCAAATAAGATGGTGCCGTTTACATTTTATGTTGCTTTTTTCTTTACACAGACTTCGTACCATAGGTTGTGGATATGTTTTCACATGTTAGTCATACCTTGCCAGGATTGTAGGCTTCCATGGGTAGAAGTATGTTTCACAATATTTTCAGACACCATTGATTCATGTTTAGCTTGTAATTTACTACAACACCTAGATTTTTTTTCACAAGACTACTGCCAAGCCAGCTATCTCCCATCTATTTGTATATATCATTTTTCTCACCTAAGTGCAGGACTTTACATTGTGGATATGAATTTGTTTCTTTTGACCCAGTTCCCCATTCTATCAAGATCACCTTGGATTCAGATTCTGTCTTTTGTTAGAAAACATCCAAGTTTGGTGTTATTGCAAATCTTAATGACCTGCATGACCACATCAAAGTTATTTATAAAAAAATGTTGAACAATGCAGGGCCTAAAACAGGAACATTGTCCAGGAGGCAGCAACGAAAACCATTCCAAAGAAAAGGAAATGCAAGAAAGCAAAGTGGCTGTCCAACGAGGCCTTAGAAATAGCAGAGAGGAGAAGGGAAGCAAAATGCAAGGGAGATAGGGAAAGTTACACAGAGCACAGAGTGCTGTCCTCTGAAGATGCCAGCCACAGAGACTGGCAAAACGTTAGGAAGAACAACCTTCAGAACACGGCCAAATAGCCCGAAAAACCCACAACAACCATTTTCATTTTGCCTTTTACAGTATTTGTATTCTCACCTGATCAGTAGGATATGTATAAATACATGGGTCCTCTATTTGCACCCCAGTGTCAAAAGAAGTGGGTGGGCTTTGATCCATAACATCTCATGTCTATATTTATGCAAGAATTCCAGGTAAGAAATGGTCCCAAATAGTGGTCATAAAACAAAAAAAGATGGAGAGACTTTTTCTCCTGTGTAAAATGCTGGAAGACGTTGCTGGCATAAGGTGGCATGTATTATCCTGGAAGACGGTGGTACTGATGTGGCTTGTATTATTGGGTCCTGTAACAGTGTTTTTAAAATAGAGATAGGGACACCCAGACTAGGTCCAGCCCTCACTGAAAAAAAGCCTTCAGTACTTTAAGATTAAACTTAATTTCCAAAATGCATGCACAGGCCAGGTTAAATCCAACTTAAATTACACACAAGTAAACATTGTAGCTTTGAATAATTTGCTGTAGACTTTTTCATGTGATATGCAATCTCCTAAATTTCTTTTAAATAACTGCTTTTACACAGTTGGCCACTAGATGCTGCTTAGACCTCATGTTCAGATGCTGCAGGCACATGACTGCTGTATATTGAGTCTCTCCTCTCACCAAGAAATATGGTTCAAAAGCAGTAGTTGTCTCAAACTGCTTTGAATTGTTTTAGTTTTCAGGTAGAGAGTTTATCAACTGGAAGTTTTCAGGTAGACAAACAGTTTATCAACTGGAAGAAAATTAGTGCTGTAGAATGAGAGGGAGACTTTTAGCCCTCCACATTTTGAGGGTTTACAACTCCCAGCGCCCTTGACCATTGGCCATTGAACAACATGAACATGCTTATCTTATATTTGGTCTTCCTCTTCTCCTGCTGCTTTCAACTTTTCCCAGCATTATTGTCTCTTCCAGCAAATCTTGCCTTTTTGTGATGTGCTCGAAATAAGACAACTTTAGTTTCATAATTTTTGCCTCCAGAGATAGTTCAGGCTTGATTTGCTCTAGGACCCACTTGTTCATCTTCCTGGCAGTCCAGGGAATCTGGAAAGCAATCCTCCAACACCATATTTCAAATGAATCCATTATTTTCCTAGATGTGGAAGGGGTAGTAGCTGAGGTAGTCTGTGCAAGCATTATAGGTGAAAACAAACTAAAAAGAAAAAGTTTTTAAAAAAACAAAAGTGGTGATACCTTGAATATGAAGTGTCTGATGAAGTAGATTTGTCCACAAAAGCTCACATTAAAAAATAATAAAAGTTAATTTTTAAGGTGCCACCATGTTTTTGGTTTTTTTAAACTTTTTTTACTTCGCTTTCACCTGTAATTATTTTCCTATCAGTTTTCTTTACTGTCTAGCTTTCACACCCATCATATATGGTAATCAGGAATACAATACTGTGGATGATCTTGGCCTTGGTCTCCAGTGACACATCCTTATACCTCATGATTGTTTTAGAAATCATAGAAATCATAGAAA